AAATAGAGACGAAACGTTCAACGGATAAATATAGTGTTCATCTTAATTAAACCCGTCCAAAAAACAACTTCCCTAAGAATAAACTTAGTAATAATATTAATAAATTTTGGATAAGAAAGAAAAAAAAAAAAAATCTTGATTATATTAACATAAAATTTAAATTATAACGAATATAAAACAACGACATACCTATAATTGTATTTCAATTCGAAATAAAAAAAATCAATTTGTAATAAATATAGAAATAATTGATTTGAACTTACCGCCTAAACGTAATTCGGCAGTGGCCTGTACCATTTCATAATCATTTTTAGCGAAGCATTGATACATTCCTTTGTCGTCCCTAACGATCGCGGATATGTGCAAGATCGAGCCACCATTTTCGGTGATTTTCGTTCTACCGGATGAACCTTCCCTCACAGGAAGTCCGTCCTTTGCCCAAGAAATTACCGGAACTGGTCTACCGGTTACGGAACACTGAAATTCCGCATCCTTTCCGAGATCAACGGTGACCTGTAACAGATAACACAAACTGGGGTTTTAAAGGTTGAAATATTCGAATTTATCGTTTGAAAATTATTATACGAGGGGTTGGAAATGAAAAGAAAACGGAACAAAATCAAACAAAATTCTTTAAAGTCTCTTATAATTTCTTTTAAACAAAAAAAGAAAAAAAAAAAGGAATAAAATCAAACAAAATTCTTTTCCCCCTTATAATTTCTCTACGCATTTATCGTTTCTATTCAATAATAAATAAAATTGTTTTACTATAAAATTGATATACCATTTGTTCGTAAATATTTTTTAGAAAATAAAGAACATTTTCTTTTTCCCTTTCTTTTTTTTTTTTGGTGTTTATTTTCCAATGAAAAACGATCAAACGAGTAATGATAAAGACAATAGGAATGAAGATAGAGTTTGAGAAAGTTTTACAGGAAACACGTTTAATATCTTGAAACAACAATAACAATGATAAAATACCATTGTAGTGGAGTCGATAGGATGCTGCAGAACAAACAGTAAAAGGATATAGAAGTAACGAGATAAAAAGACTATTGAAAATTATTCGAGATAGAAAAAGATGGAGTAGTAGAGAGAAGAAAAAACGGGCAAATAAACGAACTAAAGGAAATAAATAAAGAAAAAAAAGAATGAAATAAAAAAGAGTATGCCAACTGTTTGACTATAGTCGACGTTTGATTACTGGCCTGGAAGGGCCAGTCGGAGTACAACATTTTTAGATATAATCCCACGTAAAGCAGGAATGTCTCACAAAGCGTAAAGAATTTATCCTTTTTTTTCTCTCCTTCCTTTCGAAAGAGAGAGAGAGAGAGAGAGGGTATATACAGTACCAGCAAAAAGTTTGATATAGTTCATTGATTTTCGATCAAAATCAAATATACAGTCGAATAATTTTTCAAGCCAACGTTGGTTGTTTGTACGAGCGTAAACTGAAGTCTTTTATATCGAGGACGAAGAAGGGGTGGAGAGCAGAGGGTGATTTTTATTAACTTTAAGTTTAACAAAAAAAAAAAAGGAAGAGGAAATAAAATTGTGTTTCGTTCGAAATGATTACAACTCGTTTGATTAAATTTTAATAATCAATCTTTATAATTATCTATTTTAATAATTAAATTTAACAAATTATTCGAGAGACACACACGCACACACACACACAAGTTATATAAATAGATATTTCTAATTATTGTTGTGAATATAAATAGATGGATAGAATACACTGGACGATGATGACGATGATCGAAAACTTTTCAAGTATTTCCTCTCTCTCTGGAAAATTAGAGAATTGTTTCGAACCAGATAATGGAGAGAAAGAGAGAGAGAAAGAGAGAGAGAAAGAGAGAGAGAAAGAGAGAGTGAGAGAGAGAGAGAGAGAGAGAACTACTCTCATCCACAATTATGTACAAGTATCATCTCGAATCGTAATACGACTAACCACGTAAACCAAACGATTCAACCTATGCTAAAACACATGTGTACATAGATATATATATATAAGTGATCAGGTGCAACAAGATTGAACGTATCTTCCCCACTTTCCCCTTATCTGCCATTCTAATGCTCCTCTGTATGCAACCGAGGAGACAAACGGTTCTCCTTAATAATGCACAAAACCGATTTACGGATCAAAGGACTGGTATACGGTAAAACAGGATCTGATTAATCTGTTCTGATCGATATATCGAAATACCATTGGTACGATCAAAGCCTACAATCATGTTAAATGTTCATCTTTTCTTTTTTTTTATTTCTATCTTTCTCTTAACTGAAATTCTATTAACTATTTCCTATCCCATTCTCATTTTCATTTTCATTCTCATTCTCTTTCTTTTTCTCTAAACTGTGGTTTAATAATTTATCAAATAATTTCAATGATCAATTATAAATATTTAATGATGTGTTAATAATAATGTTAAAATATGTTTGTTTAATCTATTGAGAAATAATTTTGTTTTATTCATTTCTTATTCCTCTTTTTTGAGATTTGTCATAAAAAGAAACAAGGGTTGCTATTTATACGTGAATTTATTTCGAAAAATATTTTCCGCTATCTTAAAAACTCTTCTCGACGAAGTTTTACCGTAAAAAAAAGAAAAAAAAAACAAAACCAATAAAAAGAAAAAAGAAAAAAAAGGGGATAAGACTTCGGCAAGTAAACAGATTAAACTACTATTGATAGAGAAAAAATAAAAAAAACAGAAAAAAAGAAAAGGAGAGAATGAACAGATGGATTGGGAAGGTCGGGGATTTAAATTCAAATATTTCGAATCAATTTGCATCGGGCACACGATTAATCGAGCTACTTTGAGTACTTTTAACTTTCGTCGAAATGGAAAGAAGAATTAAAAAAAAAAAAAGAAAAAAGGAAAAAAGAAGAAAAAAACAAGAAATAGAAAATAGAAACGAGGGACGGCGAATAAAATAAAACGAGAGAAAAGTTGACGATGAAGGGAAAGAAAGGATGGTGGTAGTGGTGGTGAGGAGGAGGAGGAGATGGTGGAGGTGGGGAAAAGGAGTAGTGGTATGAAAAAAATATTCAACCGAGTCGTTCCTCGGAGTCGAACGCTTTCCATTAAATATTGTTAAGAGGATTGTACCTTACTCCATACCTTTGTTCCCTGATTCTATAGGAAAGTTTCTTTTTTGCATAAATGCTCCAGGTAGGAGCCGGTTTGATTCGAATATTCTTTGACAGAACCTTCGATAAGAATAAAAAGAAAATATGTATATATATATATATATGTATATGAAATGACTGAGATAGTCTCTTTTAAATAGGGTGGAATTTAAAGTAAGTTTCGTACGGAAAAAGAAAAGAATAAAAAAAAGAAAAGAAAAAAAGAAAGACAAAATAAATAAAAAAGAAATGCAAGAAACGGGAAGATAGAAGGGGTTTGCTATTATCTTTCGTTGATTTTTAATTTTGCCATTCTTTTTTCTTCTCCTACCTGTTTCTATTTTTTTTTTTAATTTCTGTTTACATATATTCTCATTAAGGGAGTATATTAAATACGTAAATGAGAAAGTGTGTAATTTAAAATACTTTACGTTCGAGTTGATAACGAAACTTTTTTCCCGCGTATTCTTATGTTGATTGTTCTTTTTTTTTTTTTTTTTTTTTTAATTTAAAAATTTTTTTTACCCCCTCTTTTTTTTTTTTTTTTTTTTTTTTTTTTTTGGTAAATGTAACGATACAATGAAATAAAATGCAATATCTCGCGCGCAAGTCAATATTAATTATAATTTAAATAGTAAAATAATATGAGAGAATAAAGAGAAAGAGTATTTTATAAAAATTACACCAGGTATATGTTATATACATAAGCTCAAGTATCTCGTTACTGTTACGGAAGAATGTTCTCTACTTTAAAACAATTCGTAAGAATCAAATTAGTCGAATATTTGTGGTGTACTGAATATAGAGAGAATAATGCTTCTAAAAAAGTCACCCCCAGTATATATATGGTAACCATAAACCGAACGTTTCGCGTTCTTCCCGCGAAATAATTTACTTGAAAATAACTCGTCAAATGAAATTACTCGAATATTTGTTCTATCGAAATTTTATGCTATATACTTTTATTAAAGTATACACCCGTGGTGTATAGTAAAAATATGCAAAAAAAAAAAAAAAAGAAAAAGGAAAAAAAATAAAACACTTTTTCGAGAATACTCTCATTTTATTTTAAATTAATTAATTTTGAAACGAGAGAGAGAGACGAATCAATATATTTCAATAATTCATTTAATTTGCATTTCAATTTATATATTAATTTTATATGAATTTGTTAAATATAGTAAAAGATATTACAAAAAAATTACAATAAATACTTGCAAATTGTATATTTTATTTCCGTATAGATAAAGAAAAAATTATAAAAAAAAAAAAACCACATCTACCTTTAAAAGGACACCCATACAGGTACAGCCCTGACACGTTGACCCATTGACCTACATATTTTCATGATAAAAACAGGTGACCGCTATCCGGCATAAGGATAACGCGCGACCTAGATTTTTGATTAGAAAAAAAAAACAAAACAAAACAAAGAATGAAAGAAAAATAAACGCACAACTTTTTATTCGTATATGGTAAAACAGTGACCTACATTTATCGCGTATATAAACACGTGACCACACTTTTGCGATATATACAATACATTACTGAAAGGGAAGAACAACCACGTGACCGGCGTGACCATATACGGTAAGATACGTTGACCCACATTCATCAAAGAAAATCGTAAACGCTATTGGATAGTAGGATGGGGGGGGGGAGCGGTTGATTCATATATTCGGTCATTGATGAAAACACGAGAAGTTTGCACTAGGGTATATTTAAAAGAACGAATATCTTTCGAAATATCAAAATCGTAGAAAGACGACAGTAGTGGGGGGGTGTCATTTTAAAGCCAAGGATTTATTTTAAATTATGATACTGAATGATAAATTTTTCTTTATACCGTGGGGGTGAGTGGGAGGGAGGGATATGAAATATTGAAACCGGTAAAGTTAGTTCGTGATGATAACTTTTGCATTTATTGTCAAAGAAAAAGCTGTCATGTGTAGCTGAACAGATGCATCCCTTGAACGATTTAGGATTCATGACATCGGGATAATGTATCCCCCGCAGATACCAGAATATTCTTATCGAGTATTTTCTACGTTAAACTTTACACCCCCTTCCCCACCCCATCCCACCCCTTCTGCTAGTATTACCATACTTTACTCGTCTTTAAGTATTCCGGTTATATCGTGGCGAAAGGCGAAAGCTCTTGGCATCGAATTTTCAAATATTCACCATACCTTCGGAATCTGTTTGCTACCTTGGAAAGACATAACCGCGGTGAGAAGAAACCCATCCCCCCCCGTCCCAACCCCTTTATGTTTACCCCGTTTTATGTTTGCAGAATCAACCCAGACGTGCACTTGTTGGGTGCACATCGACACTACAAGCATCACGTTTTACGTATACATCGAAAACCGATACATGATAACGAGATGAAATCAAACATGGACTTTCAAACATAGACACTCTTGCTTTTTTTTTTCTTTTTTTATTCTCCTTTCACATAATATTTATATTATTCTAGGATAAATAAATATATTAAAGAATCGTGTATAATACGAGAAAGAAAAAGTTTGATTTCTTATTTTTAATATTCATAATAATTTGTTCTATTTTTCTTTTTAAACAGCATTGAAGCCGTATTTAGACTATTTTTTGTTTATAGTTTAAGTACTGATCATTAATTTCAAATATTGATTAATTTTGTGTAATATATTATAAAACAATATTTAAATCATTTATAATTCATATTCTCGATACTCAAACAAACGATTTATCTTTCCTTCGATGATAGAAAATCTTATAAAATCAATCATATTCTATTATAGAAAACAATAAATAAATATAAATATATATATATATATATATATAAATCAAGTATCGCGTAGGAATTTTATCGCGTTCTCGCAAATGGCACTAGCTAGTATTTTCCTTCGATAAAGTTTTGAACTTGAGTTTGACGCATTAATGGAACGAAATTGCGGCAACGAATGGCAGCCAATATATGAGAGAATCCGAGCGTTATAAGCGTTTCCTTGCTGATGACTGCAAAAGTTATGCGAAAGGCTTCCGGTGAATGAATGCTATTTCATTTCCTCTTTCTCCACTCTTTCGCTTGGTCCATTTACCAATACCTATTCCAAATGTTCTCTCTCTCCCACTCTCACTAACTCTTTTATTTTTTTCTTTTTTATTTCTTTCCTTTTCCTTTATTTTCCTTTCCTTTCTTTTTCACACTCTTTTATATCCAGAAGGCTGTCCTCACCAGATGGAAGAATACCAAACGTTTTCCTCGCTTTCGTAGGACAGCGACACTTCTTTTCCAACATTTTCTAGTTGGCGACTCTCGATCGACCAACCAACCAACCAACCAACCAACCAACCCTTCTTCCTTTTCTTTTCTTCCTTCCTTATTTCTTTTATTCATTCTTCTTTTACCTTACCATTTTCTTTTTCTTTCTCTCTCTAAATAGAACAGTCCTATACATTTATTACACATCTTTCATGATTTAAGAATCACCCTGTATGTAATTTTAACTATTTATATTGATTGTTAAATTTAAGAAAGAACAAAAAATTCAATCAAATTAAATAATAAAAAATAAAGATATCTCAACGTTCGTACAATTCTTTTCTTTATTTCATCATCATTATTATTGATCTTCTATCGGCATGTGTTTTTCATTTCAAGTCACGTAATAATATTTTCTATCAAATTGACGTACCTATACCTGTTTAAATCCGACAAAGATAGAACAACGAAAGCTAATCCAGAAATTCCCAAACGTGATACCAATAATAATAATAATAATAATAATAATAATACTCTAACAACGATACTAATTAGTACATCGTTGTTAATAAAGATGTAAATTATAATCCGAGAAAATAATCATTAATTAGAAAAAATAAAGAATTCGGACAATTGTTAACTGAATCAAATTTAAGCACGAAAATCACCAACTACCATTGAAATTCGTTCGAAATTTCGTTAACGAGTTAACGACTTCTTACTTTTGATCTATTTCATATTCCTTTTTTTTTTGGATAACTATTCCGATAAATTGTTATAAAATGAAAGAGATGATCCGATTACGAACAGTCTAATAATTCGATCGTTTCTATATATATTAATTATTATTATTATTATTATTATTATTATTATTATTATTATTATTATTATTAGTATTCGTATTCAAATTGCACGAAACAGAAAGAGAGAGAAAGATAAAGAGAGAGACAGAGATGGAGATAGAATTGATGGCGTTTTACGTTCGATAAGTTTAACGATGTATTATTAAATGTGCCTCGAGGATATTAATAATAATTATAACGTAACAATAACAATAACAAGAAGCGACATGCAAATTGTTAGCCAATAATTCGTTTCAACCGTTTTCAGAAGATTTGCTATAATGTTATACGTAACGTTATCTCTTTCTCTCTCTCTCTCTCTCTCTCTCTCTCTCTCTCTCTCTTACTCTTTCTTTCTCTTTCTTTCTTTCTCTATCTATATGTTGAACCTCATCGTTCCATAACAAGAGATCGATTTACAAAGCCATTATGCTACATAGCTACGTGCACCGTTAACCCGTTACGGGATGAGTAACTTAATTAAGGTACGGCTGGTAACGCATTGGCGTCAGCATTATGAAAACGTGCGTTTCTCTCCTTGATCGTTGAAAATTTACTCATCCAATATTCTAGTTTCACATAGTTACCTAACTCTTAACCCCAATTTTCTATTTATTTTAGATAACAATTAATTAACGTTCAATCATATACACACACATTACCCGTTTTATATGTAATATACTTATTTATATTTCAGAGCGTATTACGAATAATTAGATCTTTTTTCTTTTTTTTTTTTTTTTCTAATGAAAATTTTTCCACGAGATTTTTCCATTAATCGAAAAAAATATTCACGAAGTGCACTGTTGTGCAACATTTAAATGTAGAGGTTTCCTCTTGTCGTACGTTTCGCTTTTCTTTTTTACGATTCTGAGTGCATTTTCCGTTTAATGAAAAAGTATTGGTGTAAGAAAAATATAAAAAAAAATATAAGCACATTAGTAATAGTAGGTAATTATGTTACGTATTTTATCTCATCATAATATATTTTATATATTTTAAATAAGAGATATTATTTTTCAATGAAATTTTGTCTAGACAATTATTGTTTGTAAATAATTATTTCTAAAGTAAAGATAGAAAGTAAAGTCGTGATTTTAAGACAGGATAATCAAATAGGGGGTTGAATACTGTAAAATTGGCATGGCGGAGCAAGACGTGGGGGGGGTCAGAAAGAGTGAATGCATCTTTAGGATGTTCGTTACACGCTTGAAGTATTATTTGGAACAGATATTCGAGGTTTTCTCACGACTGTTGTTATCCCTTGACGGTATTTAACCAGTTGCGATCCTCGATTATCCGCGTCGACTAGAATTAGTCGACGTTAGTCGAGCAGTCGAGCTGAATTTATTCGGCTGAGCTGCACGTTACCTCGATATAATGTCGAATTCTCTTCTCTTCTCTTCTCTTCTCTTCTCTTCTCCTCTCTCACTCTTGTTCTTCAGTGAGAGGAAACATCCGAGCAAGAGAACGTCTCGACGGTTTAACAAAGTCAAAGTGCAACGAACCGTGGCACCTTGCATCGGGCTTCAAACTTGCTTGTTCCCATCCCGAGAAACACGAATTTCAGCTTGCTAACAAGAGCGAGAGAGAGAGAGAGAGAGAGAGAGAGAGAGAGAGAGACAGAGAGAGAGATAGAAGAAAAAGGATAATCATCATCCTAAATTCGATGTAACAAATTTTTGCAAATTTCATGCATATACATTTAATAATTCTATTAAAAAATAACATAATATATATTTTAACACTAGTTTTACCAGGTATTTTGATATGCCTATTTCTACCAAAACCAGTCGAAATGATTGGTCTTTAAAAACAAGTGTTCAGTGAAGTAAAAATAGCAATAGATAAAAATATATTTATTACAAATATATATATATATATAAAATAATATAAAGTTCATAAAACTGAATTTTACATTACAAAAAGAAAATGTTACATGCAGTAGGAATTTTAAATTGAAATTGCAAGACCAGTCATTTTGACTGGTCTGGTAAATTTAATGTTAAACAAAAAATCTATTGTTAAATATATATAATCGTATAGTAAAGGAGAATGATTTTTACCTGTTGAGGAGTCAGATGAATTGAAATACTGCTGATGATTGAAACCTCAAGCTCGACTCTCTCCGAACCAGCGGTATTGTTTGCATGACAGACATATCGTCCAGCATCCTCTGGTCTAGCAGCTTGAAGTATCAAAACCCCGGCTCTAGCATGAATTCTCTCAGAGTTGAAGATCATTGCCGTGCCAGAGACGGACTCGCGAAACCAAAGATACGTTGGTGGTGGTATCCCTTGGGATATACAGGACAGAACGATCGTTTCACCCGTTCTAATTGGTGCTGGACTGACACGTTCGTTGAATCTCGGTGGTACTGGATTTCTATGTTCTACAATCATACAAATCAATATTTTTTATTTTTATTATTAATACGTAATCAATTTCAACAAAATTATTTTCATTTATTGGAGACATTGTTTCATTCGTGCAAATAGGGTTGCATACCTAAAGGGGCGTAGGAAATAGTGAGATTGATAAAAATGGCAAACTTATATGATGTACATTATATTAATATATAAACTCGTTAATAAATTTATTAGAAAGATATTAAGATAATAAATGATGTTCTTAACAGATAATTAAGTTAGAAAATATAAATCATTTTGATGATATTTAACGACGTTAACAGGTTATATTAGTATTGGATACTTCATTTGACCCTCATTTTTCTTCTTTTTCATCGACCAGACCATCTGGTATGAGAACTCACAAGATATATCTCGAATATATATATATTTATCTATCCTCGAATCCCCAGGAAGTCGTTAAGGAACAAATCCCGGTGGACTCGTTTGGTTGAGCAAGGATTATGCGTTTAATTTTGAATGTCGGTAAGCGCGGAAGCGGAACCTGCTTCTTCTGCAAATATCTCTATACATATATCTATATATATATCTGTATGAATAAAGTATCTATTATGTGGTATCAGTATAGAAAAAATATTAAAAAAAATAAATACCATAATTTATTCTCCATCAATAATGATCGTTCTATTATATTTAATATTAACCAAAAGAAAATTGATACATATCTATTTTTCAATTATTTCTCATCTCGTATAGATTGAAATAAATAAAATAAACATAAATGAAAATTCGAAAAAGATATAATAAAAATAGTCAAGTATTTTTTTATGTTAAGATAGAGACGACATATATAAATAGGGTTGCATATTAAACATCTTCGTCCCTTTTTTTTTTAATCTTGCTTACAATTAAACCAAGATTATCATGGGTAAATATTTTAATATACGCGCGTAAACAAATCAAAATAAAATGTTACTCTTTAAAATGAGTGGAACAAAATGAGCGATACAGAATAAGAAAAAAGAAAAAAAGTATAAAAAAAAAAAAAAACAGAATCGTCGTGTAATCCCTTTGGTGACGTTTTAAATGTTTCGATAGAAAAGTCAATGTACTATGTAACAATAACGAAGAGAGAAAGAGAGAGAGAGAGAGAGAGAAAAAGAGAATGATGCGAGATCAATTCTCATGGATATTATTTTCGCAATATCGTTGATAACGTAGGGTCGTTCATAGATCGATATCAAAGTAGAATAGAGAACGTTCAATTTCAATCGTTATTCCGCCCTATGGCGTCCGGACGATAATATAATAATCCGATATTAAAGTGCTCAAGGCTCGTTTGTTACGTAGAATGGGTGGTAAACTCGTGGACGGGCATGACCCAACCCAAAACGGCTTTGGCTTTACTCCTTTATCAATTATAATTTCATCAGTAACGTTATTCGGGGTCAGTCGGGAAAACGAGTTGAGTGTCGATCGACGATCTCCTCACCACCTACACCCGTCCCCCTCCTACCCCCATATCATTCCCAACTACCCCTCGCTCCACCTCTCAACTCTTCACCTTTATTTCTACGATCTTTTTTGATGAAAATCATTTTCTTTTTCTGTCGATTTGTCGTTAAAAAATATTGCGCGAGAAAATAATTACGAAAGGTAAGAAGAAAATATATATATATATANTCGTTAAAAATAAAAACAACTCCTCAAATTTAATATTTTCTTACGAGATTATTAAAATAAGAGTGTCTTTATATATATATATATATATATATATAAAGACACTCTTATTTTAATAATCTCGTAAGAAAATATTAAATTTGAGGAGTTGTTTTTATTTTTAACGATTTGACTAAAAATTTTGTTAATATGTACCATAATACTACTACGACGCGTATCGATAAAATTCGCATTCTCGCTCGAGTGTACCTAAATGTTATCGTAATGTGATGATAATTTTTCGTTGGTAAATAGAAACGACAATTGTTCTAAAAACAAATGAACGATAAAAAATTGGCCTCTCGACAAAAAAGAAAAAGAACAAGGAAAAAAACCGTAAATATATTCCGCTACAAAAGGCCAAAAATTAAACCTGACGAATAAATCTATTTTATTTATATCCGCGAAAATATAAATATCTTTTGGGAGAGATTGATTGGGGTGGAGGAAAGGAGTGAGAAGGGGTTGGGGTGTAGGGGGTAGGGAATCGAGGGGCGAGATACAAACGGCGATTAAAGTTCCACGCGCGGTCGTTGTGAAGTTTTCCGCGTGTTGGAGGAGGAGGAATGGCCAGGAAAGCGGGCAGGAGGAGGTGGAGGAGGAGATAGGGGTGGTGGTGGAGGAGATGGGGGTGGTGGTGGCGCGGATGGTTGAACGGAAACTCGACGGAACACGCGCGGGAAAGCTTTTTACGATGGCGCTATTTTATAATGGCCTCGCTTTGTCTGGACCGCGTTATTATTGTAATTTAAGCTGATGGCGTATTGATCGGCCGCTACCAACCACCTCGCCCCTTGCACCCCCGTCCCCTCTCTCCCTCACTCACTCACTCACTCACTCACTCATTCTCTCTCTCTCTCTCTGTTCCACCCCTTTTCGTAGAAGCATGTACGCGCGCACGTAGAAACATTCAACCTCTCTCTCTCTCTCACTTCCACCCTTTGCCATACATTCGCAATATTCCAGTTTGCCATATTCCTGCAGCCCTAGCAATAGCAACAGAACATCATCAGCATCAGCAGCAACAGCAGTAGCAGTAGCAGCAGCAACAGCAGCAGCGGAACATCAGCAACGCCCCGAATGTTGCCTTCTCTGCTCATAGCCAACAAGCTGAAAACTTTTCACGGCGTTTGCTTTCGATTTATGCATCTCCTCGAAACCCCGCGCAGCACCCCCATCCCATCCCTAACCTACTCTACCCCTTCTCTTATTCCTCCCCCATTTGCCACCTGCCCCTCCTCCTACCATCAGTTTCACCTCCTCCTCGCATCCTCCTCTTCAGAATATCTCCGTCCGGTTTTCATCGCTAAATGCCGAATCTGCTGGCGGTTTATCGAATTAATTCTTCGATACCGACTGGTACCGGTACCGGTATAGGTATAGGTATTGGTATTGGTATTGGTATTGGTATTGGTACCGGTCCTGTTGTCGCTACTATGCCGATCGAAAACGAGCTCGAAAGAGGATTTACGACGCTTCGAAAACGTATCGAAGCTGGTTCGTCCTCTCGATTATGTTTCATCCCATTCTCTCTCTCTATCTCTCTCTTTTTTCCCTTTTTTTGTGCATCCTTCTCTCTCTCTCTCGTCTATCAATCAGTCTATCTATCTAGTTCTATCTGTCTGTTTCTCATTCTCTCTCTCTCTCTCTCTCTCTCTCTCTCTCTTCTCAATCGATGTATCGACAGGTCCGATCAGTCCGAAAAGCCGAAATTAACGCAACGTCACGTGATGTTCATTTCCTAAACATCGATCTTCTATCTCCGAACGTTCCACGATTAAATTCGTCGTTTATTTCTTGTAAAAGATATATATATATATATATATATTTTTTTTGTCTTATTATAGCTTTGTAATATAGCGAGCAGGTATCATTTTCGCAATATAAATTTTTAAATCAAGAGTGGAAGAAGTTTAATTAATAACGAAAGTATCCAAACTCGTGAGAGAAGTGAGTCTTTCTAAGGGCTCTCTTGTTGTGTAATATTTAAGCGTGGCTTGACTATAGAATACGAAAGAGAAAGAAAGAGATAGAGAGAGAGAGAGAGAGAGAAAGCAAGAGAAATAGATATAGAAGAGTAGTATTAGTAGCAGCAGGAGCAGCAGGAGCAGACAGTGCGCTCAAACGAGCATCTTCGTATCCTTTGAACCATCGGTCATTGACTACGTAATCTACAATTTTCCATCATGCAACAAGCCCTCCTCCTCCTTCTCCTCCTCCTTCTCCCTTTCTTGCAACCTCACCTCCTTTTTTAACCCTTCCTCTCGCTTATATTCTGGTTTTACATCCCATAACGCATAAGTGCATGCGAGAGACACAAGCTTCGACGAATTCAACGGGCACGAGAGAAGAATAAAAGGAGAAATGATAGACCAAAAGAGAGTCTGTGTGATAGAAAAAGAGAGAGAGAGAGAGAGAGAGAGAGAGAGAGAGAAAGAAAGGAATAAAGAAAAACAAAATAAAAAAAGAAAAAGAAAAGGGTAGATATCTTTTTCTCTCACTCTCTCTCTCTCTCTCTCTCTCTTTCTTTTTCTATCTCTCTCTATCTTTCTCTGTTTTTATCTTTTTAGTCTCATACAGAACGATGGCCAATTAAACCTTTCGAGGCAACGAGTCCAATTAAGACTCTATTAAATATACACCCATTGTATATATGTGTGCCTGTGTATGAATATGTATATATATATGTGTGTGTATGAGTGATAAAGAGAGATAGAGAGAGAGAGAGAGGGAGAGTGTATCGTCGTCAAAGCGGATTTCAAACGTCGCCGGGCCCTTATCACGTACTTAAACCACGCGGAACAAGGGAACCTCGAAGTTAATGAAGTTCGTCGCTAATTAGCCGTACAATGTTTGTCTCCTTCTTTCTTTTTCTCTCGAAATGGGAAAGAATAAAAGAGAGACAGAAAGAGAAAGAGAAAGAGAGAGAGAGAGAGAGAGTGTGTGCATTAGGTACGAACACGACACAATTCTTTTCTCGTTCCCGCGAGGCCCTTTTTCAGTTGTTGAAGGTCGATTTACAACGCGTTATCTCTCTTTCTCTCATATTTAATTTTTCTTCTTCTTCTTTCTCTCTCTCTCTTCTCTTTTTCCCTTGGTTTTCGTTTATTTCATTTTTTTCTTCTTTTCTTTTCTTTTTTTTTTTCTTTCCGAATTTTAATATAACGAAAAGGAGGATTAATTATAAATAATGATAAATTTAAACAAAACGGACAGATAAAAAACGGTGGGGGGGGAATGAAGATTAGGAGTAAATTACTGCACGTAGTTTGACATCATTAATAGACTATTATTGTCGAGCATA